ATCAATTAAAAATAAAATAAAATAAAATGGCTAATTTCTATTGATCAAAAGACCTCCCAATATAAATGTCATGTAGGAGCTGTACCTACTATTCCTGAAAATTTTTGCATTTTAAATCTTTTATGAATAAAAATATAATAATAAAAGACATCCAATAAAAAAATATCCAAAAAGCAATCTGAGTGACAAATTATACGGAGGGATTATCACAATCCCAGACTTCAATTTATTTATACAATAAATCTACAGTGATAAAAACAACACGGTACTGCCAAAAAAAAATCACTATAAAAGAATTTTTAAATGCCACATTATATAATTCCCTTTCTGTAGAGTACAAAATCAAAATAATCCAATGTCAGAAGTCATAATACAGGTAAACCTTCAGGCTGGGGTTAGTTATCAGTGAAAACAAGCATGAAGGGGCTTTTGATGTGCTCACAATTTCCATTTCTTGACCTAGTTGCTGGCTGAACACACTGTAGCAAGATGTGGTCAGTGAGTAAAAATCACTGCATTATATACTTATGACATGGACAACTATGTTATGGCGTATTGCAGTAAAAATTTATACAAACACACATGCACAGAGACCGTTAGGTGGTAGCTTTCTACTCTCAAATGAATATACCTACAAAAAAAGAGGTATCTGAACACCCTGTGAGAAAGTTATGTCCCTGCTCTCTACCCAGACTAAAGTGAGAACCAAGCACACAGAGTTGCAAATAGGTGTTTTTTTTTTGTTTTACATATCTAGTACAGGGTCTCACTACACAGCTCAGACTCATAGTGATCCTCCTGTTTTCAGCCTCCCTAGCTCTGGGATTACAGGCGTGTACCACTATGCCCAGTCTCAGCACACCCTGGGGATGGGGCTAGCACAGCACGCGGGACAAGGATCAAACCCTGGTCACTGTGCTTGACAAAGCAAGTACTTAGTCTGCTGAGCTCTCTCATTGGCCCTGCAAATAGCTTTTGACTGCCTCACTTAAATATGAATTCAATTAAATTTAATAGGAAGATATTTTCTATCCTCTAGTCAATTGAGAATTATAAAATGTAGGCAATGTTTTCTGAATATTTTGCTCAAAACTGTTAGGAAAAAAAAAAAAAAGCAGCCGGGTGCATGCTTCAGCCCTATTAGCTCAGGACTCATGAGACTGAGGCAGGAAGAAGATCAAAAGGTTGAGGCCAGCCTGCACAAGTCACCAAGAGCCTGCCTCAAGATAAAATCTCAAAGAAAAAAGACTAGGAATTTAATTAGTTGTACAAAACCTGCCTAGCATGCACAGACCTCAGGTTCCATCTCCTCCACCACCATAAAAAAAGAGCAATGCTAAAAGAGAAACCTGCTTTTCTCTTAAACATTCTCTACTACTTCGTGAAATTACAGTAAGATTCAAGCTACTGGAAAACCCAGACAGAAGTACTAGGTAACTTCCTGAGGGAAGGCTGCCACTCAGCAGCTACCTACTATCAATGAGATAAAAAGGGATGATCGCAAGTATTTTATCTAAACAGTGACTAATTAAAATCCACAATAGCTTTTTTTCTATAATTTATAGCACATTCTTAAGGCAGTAAAGGGAAGAAACCAAAGATCCAGAAACATTAGGAAGTGGAAGTGGTAAATACTAAATACTCACTCAGGTATTAGAAGCAGAAAATATATGCTCAAATATTTTTCTTTAAAAGTTCTTGTAATTACAATTTTTATTTCAGTTCTTTCAAAATCTTGTCAGCTTAGTAGCTCTGTCTTAATTACAAATTATTATTCTAAAACATGGTCCTTACCGCCTCTCCTGGAAAACCCTCTGTTCTGTGTTTGATTATCTTCACAGTCATTATTAGATCCTTGAATAAAAATTTAACAAGTGAATACCATCAAAAGAATAAACTTTAAAGACATAAGATCTACAATAGCACTGTCACAAAATAAACCAGCCAAAATATTTTATAAATTAAAATATATTTTAATTATTGAAATTTAACAAATATAACATTACTTCAAGTTGACTTCATATATAAAACATCCACTGTACCTAAAACATTAAATGTTAAATATAACGTTGAGAACCCACTATTTTTCCAAAAGCTATTTTTCCAACAGGCAACACAAGCCAAAAAATGACAATTTCACAAATGTTTCTCTGATCATGATTTCAGACATTTTTAAACTATTAAGCTATCAAATGATTCTCAAATGTGATCCACACATCAGTAAAAACACATGACCATGACTATTCTCTTTTACAACAGTATAGATTTTTATTTTTCTTACTAACTATAAGAGCTCACTGCATCGTTAAATACATAGGCAAACTTTCATTCATCCAAATGAAACAATCTGAGGGGTCCTAACTTTTAAAGTACATTACCAGGGGCCAGGGAGATAACTTAGTAGAATAAGCACCTGCCTGGCAATCCCCAGTACCACAGAAAAAAAAATATTATAAAGTACATTACCAGGGTTTCTAGACAATGATACAAGAATCAGTTCACTAAAGGCTATTTAGAACTTATCTGAACTACATAAAAAGAAATATCCAGCCCCTACTCTCAGAATATACCCTGTAAAGGGCTGGCCAGATAGCTCGGCAGACGCAGGTTCAGGGCTCAATCCCCAGTGTGCCATAGCCCAACCACCAGGGCGCACTGAGATGGCAGATGAGACTCGGCGTAGCCACACACACCTGTAATCCCAGCACTTGGGAGGCTGAAAACGGAGGATCCCTAGGACTCTGGTCTGTGCAGTGAAACCCTGAAGACCCTGCACTAAATACATTATTCATTTCTGGCTGTCTGAAAGTGCAGGCAGCCAGAAATGAGTAATGAAATTTTAACGTTCTATCTTAATATAACTTTAATTTTACCAAAATACTCCAATAAAGTCAACTGGGGAAATTCAGAGATGGTTTCAAAAGATCTTTGTACATTTAATTAGTGCTAATGTCTGAAACCTTAAATTAATGGTGATGATATCAAATGATCAAACAGCTTTCAGGTTTTTTTTTATCATATTACGTAGGGACTTAAAGTTCAACATATCAATACTTGATGAAAAATACCTGTTCCTTATTATGCCTAAGATGTTTGAAATGCAGTGAGATAGTGAGGTTAAGCTTGATAGCCTAAATCGTTTGA